CGGGGGGCGGGGGGGCGGGGGGCGGGGGGGCGGGGGGAAGCTCAGTCAGGAAAGCATGTGCCTTGCAAGCCCAAAGCCTAGACTGAATACCGAGAATGCACACAGAGAAGCCCGGTGCAGTGGCTTGTGTTTGTAATCCCAGCACCAGCAAAGGGGACACAGGTGGGTTCCTTGGGGTTCACTGGTCAACCGGTCTAGCCCAGTTGGTGAACCAATGAGAAATTGCCTCAAGAGGTAGACAGAGTAAGTAGGAGACTCTCGAAGCTGTCCTCCTAGCTCCTCTCTCTCTCTCTCTCTCTCTCTCTCTCTCTCTCTCTCTCTCTCTCACACACACACACACACACACACACACACACACACACACACACACGCCTTTTTAAGAAGAACCAATTTGTAAGGAGCGAAAACCAAAGGGGACCAAGGGCTCGAATATCCAGACACCTGGAGGGGGGTCAGCTGAGGGAGGGCCTCAGAGGACTCTCTAGCTCAGCTTCTCGGTCTTCAGTCGGCTCTCCTGACATCCACTCTGTCCTCCACCGATCCAATCTGCAACTTGTGCCCCAGGGAGGAGAAAGATTCCTTTCCCTAAAATACAACTGCCATGGCTTCTTTAGTTTTTACATTTTTATTACATTTATTTATTCTGCGTGTGTGCTCATGTGCTTCCCTTCCACCATGTGGGTCCCAGGCTTAAGAGGAAACACCTGATCCACCCCAGCAGCCTGTCTTCTGTGTTGTACCCGGATGAGATGCTCGCTCTGGGGAGGGCACTACTGCTTTGTCACTTTGTGTAAGGTGAACACAAAGGAAGCTCACCCACACTACAGTGAGGTAGGGCTGGGTCTTCAGAGGGAAAGCCGGTGCTGCTTAGACCAGCAAGAGGGAGTCTGCTTAGGCCACAGCATCCTGTTCTCAGCAACAAACGGTGCATTTAAAAGCTAGTGACTGTACAAGCCATGGAAGAAGGGGGCCGATTGGGAAGAGGAAGGGGCCAGTGGAAGGGCCAAGCAGGGAAGGATGGTGGGCGTTTGGTTCAATGACTACATACTAATAAAAATGAAAAGTAAAGAAATGGAGATTTTTTATTTTAAGAGACAACCTCCAAAGGATTACAGAAATCCTGTGGCTTGCCACCACAGGAGGTACCACTCCTGGTTAGGTGGTCCTGAGATGTGCAAGAGAGCAGGCTGAGCAGGACACAAAGAACAAGTCAAGAAGCAGCATTCCCAAGGCGTCGGGTTCAGCTCCTGCCTCCAGATCCCGCCTTGAGTTCCTGCCCTGGCTTCCCTTGATGATGAGTAATAAACTAGAAACTGAAATAACCCTTTTGGTCATGGTTTTCAATCACAGTACTAGGAAGTCAACTGAGTCGGCCCTTAATGTGGCATTTTAAAATAAAGGAGTGGGTACCCAAACTCATCTAGAAATAGAGAATTTCAAACACATGGTTAATAATTAAACACAATCATGTACAACAGTTAAGTACGCAGTTCCAGTTCAGGTTATATAAGATAGTCTTTCCTGATGAAAAACATATAATAACTTTGATTAGTAAATTGAAAACAAAATATAGCTAGGCAGTGGTGGCGCACGCCTCTAATCCCAGCACTGGAAAGGCAGAGGCAGATGGATTTTTTTTTTTTGACAGAGAAACCCTGTCAAAAAAATACAAAAGAAAGAAAGAAAAGAAGAATGAGGAGGAAGAGGAGAAAGAAAAGAAAAAAAATATAGTCACTAGGAAAGAAAACAAAATTGTTTAAAAAAAAAGATCATACTGAACATATTCATAAAAATACAAAAATTATCTATTGGACTTTCTTTTCAATTATTTTTTTTTGAAGTTAACAAACTTAAGCCTATTTTACTTCCTTATGTAACACTGGCCCACTGTTAGCTATGAACATGAACAGAATATGGACAAAGCTAATACAGTACTGAGGATGAGGGGGCTCACGGTGAACATGGGGGCGGGACAAAGAACATGCTCCAATATACAGGATGAAGGGGCTTGCGGTGAACATGGGGGCGCGACAAAGAACATGCTCCAACATACTTTACACGTAATCTAACACTGATCTGTTTAGATTTCAAACCTGTGTATCAGAACTATCTAAACATTTTGTGATACACAGTACTAGAGAAAAGATCGATGCCAGGACAAGTCAGGAAACCTTTGCTTAACCACTGACCTGAGACTCTGTTTTGACTTTTAGGTGAATCTCCAGTCCGGGGGGGAAAAGTAGCATATGAACTGAGCTTGGTGTAAGAATTTAAATGACTTCACTGAGACATCTTAGCTTACACCATTTTTTTTTTGCTAGTTTATGCTTGCTAGTTTTACAGAAATCCTGAGACTAGGAGTAGTCATAAGTTTATAACAGAGAAAGAAATTATGTCCCCCCCCCCACACCCTCAAACAATCACAGATGTAAGTCTCCAAAAGCCTTCTGTCATCGTAGATCCGAGGTAGGACTGAAATAGTTCCTGAGACCCTCGGGTTTATTTTCCGCCTCTTTTGGGAACACAAATGCAAAAGATAACAACGAAGCAGGAACAGGCAGAACTGACTCGAATTTGCATTAAGTATTTTTAGACTTCATGCAGGGAAATGTTAGAACAGAAATAGTTGACATTCTACAGAGGAAATCCAGACACTTCTCCATCTTCTGCTAGATTGTCATCAGAGTCGATACTCGTCTAAGTTGTTTGGTAGAAATGCCATCTGCCTCTCCCAAGCCCCCTCTCCCTGAGCTCCATGGAGACCTTCGCTACTCATGAGCAGAAAGGCTGCCTCCCCATCGTAGAGGTCCTTCAGGTAGCGACACAAAACACCACCTGCCAGGAGAGCAGGCACTGTGTTCCCACTTATGTTATGAAGCTGTGGGCTCGTGTTTATTGTTTCTACATAAGGTCTACCAACGGTAATGAGGTAAGCTTTTGTCATAATCCATGACTCACAGAGAACATGTAACTGTCACTAGCCAGTCCTCTTACAACTCAGCCCTATGGGGATTTATGGCATTCCTTCTGTGGTCCTACCTACCAGGGCAGCTCATCACAGTTAGTTTTCATAGTCAAATACCTATAGATGGAATGTGCAAACATCTGTACATGTAAGAAACCTAAAGAACAGTAAATTGTTACGTGTTTCTGATAAAAAAAAACACAAATGCATGTGCATACATGTGCACAAGAAAGGAGAAAAAGATAACGTTCTGGGGGACATAGCTCAGTTGGCAGCGTGCTCTTTGCATTCATGAAGCCTTGGGAGACGGGGACACATGCACACGCGCGCGCACACGCACACACACTATTCTGCTGAGTGTGTGATGCACACCTGAAATCTCAGCACGTGGTAGGTAGAGGAAAGAGGATCAGGAATTCAAAGCCTGCCTGGGATACGTGAGATGCTGTCTCAAAAAAAAGAAAGGAGAGAAACTGAGGGGAAAACAGAGAGGAAATGGAGTGTGGGGGTGAAACATGAATGAAAATGAATGAGTATGAACCCCAAGGTAAATCCTCCAAATTCTCCCGCTCTCCTACAATAAGCCTTTAACGTTCAAAATGAGAAAATAAAAGTTAAAACGGTCCAGGCTTTCTAATCAAGAAGCAACAGTTAATCTGGATTAAAGACACCAAGCAGCTTAACTTTAAACTCCGCGCAAGCCATTGAGGAACAAATCCTGCCATACTTGGTTTGGCAGAAGGCTGCAAGACTCTCCCGGCGCTGTATCAACCTCCGTTTCTCTGCGGCCTTAGCAAGCGGAGCAAAGTTGCTTCATACAAACTTGGTCAAGTGCTCCAGCAGCAGAACTCTCCCAGCTTTCCCGTGACCCCGCCCCCGTGGCAATTCAAGTCCCCAACACCCTACGAGGGACCCCTTCCTTCTCGAGAGAGCCTCCGGAAGCCAGACCCCTAAATCTGAACTCCCCCGCTCTCCTCCACGCGCCTTCACCTACAACAGCCGCGGTGGGCTGGAGGGAACACAAAGTCCCGGCCAGACGTGGCGGCACCCGCCCCGGATTCCCCTGTCCGTGCACGAGTGGCTCCGCCTTTCCCAGCCTCAGTTTCCCTCACAGGCTGCAGAAGGGTTTTGTCGAGGCAAAAGGTCCTGGGTTGGGTGCACATACCTTCCTCCTCTCCTGCTTCTCTCCGGCACCGGGACCAGCGTGGACTCCTCCGGGTTGCAGTGACCCAACCCCGGCCCCAGCCCGTACCCGTACCTGGGAGCTGCTGTCCTGGGGCAGGTTTTTCACCAGGATTTTCCGCCGGTTGCTCAGCTCCCTCCGCATCCGCTGCAGCCGCGCGGCCACCTCCTGGGGGTGCAGCGCGGCCACCTCTCCCGGGCGCAGCGCGGGCTCCGCGGCCTCCCCCGCCGTCCCAGCAGAGGGTCCGGATCCCAGGCCCGCGCCCCCCGCGCTGCCTCCCCGCGCCGCCATCTTCCCGGCGCCCCGCTGCAGACTCGGCGAGGCCGGAGCGAAGCGGGAGAGAAAGCGGAGAGGCCGCGCGGGGGCGAGGCGGGCCGGACGCGGAGCAAGGGCGCGCGGGCGGGGGAGGCGCCGCTGCCGCCGACGCGGGGAGGGGGGGGCGGAGCCCGGAGACACGCCCATTCCAGACACGCCCCCGATGCTCCGCCCCTACCCCATGACACCTGCTTGAGCTAGAATGTGGTGGCGGGACTCGAACCCCTAACGGACTCTGCCCTGGCTCCCCGTGTTTGGTCTCGCGCTCCAAATTCGGGGGGCCCTGGGCACCACTATGCAACCTGGAGAACTAACTCCGGGCCTCAATTCTAATATATCAAGATGTGTGTTATTTGGCAAAGTTTAAGACATCAACGAACAAAAAAGCAAAAAAAAAAAAAAAAAAAAAAAAAAAGAGGTTTATCTAAGAAGAAAAGATTCTGGGGAAAGATGTGGTATATTTGGTAAGATCTGAGCATAAATTTCCTAATTGTCTTTCATTGGTCCATATGCCCCCTACGATGGACAACCTGTTCAATATGTGTTTGGAACACATATTGAAGCAGAAGCAAAGACTGGGAGAGTTATGGCAGAGATCAGGAGAGCAAGCCCCTTGGTTATATGAAACTTGGAAGGAGATGTGTAGAGATATACCTAGTCAGGGAGATCTACCAATCCAATAGCCTTTGACTGGCTCCAGCTGGAATGACCATTAGTAAACGGGAGCATGGACCTGAAGGGTGCCCCAAGAAAATGCACTCAAAAATAGCCTTCATAACACCAGCCTGCAATGCATTAAAGGGAAATGCTTTAAACATAACCAACGTACATGAATAAGGGGTTTTGCTCTCATTAAGGGTCTGGAGAGATGATTCAGGCCTTATAGGAACTTATAGCTCTTGCAGAGGCCTACAGTACGGCTCCCAGTACTCAAGTCAGGTGACTCACAACCACCTGTCACTCCAGCTCCTGGATCTGATGTACTTTTCTGGCTTATACACACACACACACACACACAAGATCATGGATTTAGTACTTACCATGGGCCACCCACATATGTCTAAGTATGTTACAGTATTTCACTTAAAAATACAAATAGGCGGCCGGGAGGTAGTGGCGCACACCTTTAATCCCAGCACTCAGGAGGCAGAGGCAGGTGGATCTCTGTGAGATCGAGGCCAACCTGGTCTACAAGAACGAGTTCCAGGACAGCTAGGACTGTTACACAGAGAAACTCTGTCTCAAAAGACAAACAACAGGTCCAAATAGGCAAGGTTTACTTTTTTTCACATAACACATGAAGAAATGGAATCTAGTCTGATTAGGCTCAATGTTCTAAATAATATGTCATCTGTAATCACTCTACTCCCAGATTATGGTTACTAGTCCTCAAACTGTTCTCAAATACTTATTATCATTAAAATTATTCAGGGCAGTACCCCAGTATTTACGCAGCCCTATTCCCATAGACCCAGAGTGAAGAACCGATAGCCTATTGCAGTCTGAACATACAGAGGAATAGTTCCCCGCCATCAAAGGAAGACAACTACTGCCAAAAAGTAGGTGAACCTCCAAGTCACTAAGTGAGAAAAACTAGAGGCAATGGCTACATACTGCATGATTCCATTCATAGGAGCAACAGGGAAATCCAGAGAGCAAAACCCAGAGTGGGGTAGACGGGAGCTGAGAAGAGCATGTCACTGAACAGTACTGCCCCACGGTAATGCGAGAATTCTCAAATGTATTATTACAGGGGATTCAATGGGAAATACACGAATACAAGACAAAGTGGAAAAGGCCATGGGTCCAGCTGCCAGATTCCGCCGTTCTGCTCAGGGGAGATGTGAACAACCACAAGGCTTGCTTCTGCGCCGACATGCCAAATAGGGGTGAGAGAGACCCCCTCCTCTTCCTCAGGAGAGATCACATCTGCACATAGAAGTCACACCCTAAGACCGGTATCCCGGAACTATCCGCAGAATGAATTCCCACAACACCACAGGCTCACACATCCCTTTGAAGCAATGTTTTGGGGCTAGAGAGAAAAGGCCAGTTCTGTGAATGTAACTCAGTATTGCCTCAGTTCGCTTTTAACTGGTTAATGATGTGAAGCTCACCTTATAAACACTTCACTTTGCTTCTTTTCCTGTTGCTGTAACTATAAAATACTCTGACAACAGCAATTTATGGGAGAAGAGGCTTGTTTCAGTCCATGGTTCAAGGACAGGGTCCACCCTAGCAGAGTAGTCAGTGTGGTAGAAGCTTGGAGCAGCCGATCACACTGCATCCACAATCAGGAGCAGAAAGCAGTGATTGCATGCTGCTTTCTCACTTACACACTCCAGGATCCCAGTCACGGAGTAGCTATGCCCACAGGAGAAGGGTGTAGACAGAAGTTTCTGTTCTGCCTCATCCCGCAGCTGTTCAGTCCCAAAGTAACACACAGAGGTTTATATTAATTATAAAATGTTTGGCCCACTAGCTCGGGTTTATTACTAACTACTCTTACAACTTAGATCAACCCATAATTCTTGTCTTTGGTTAACCATGTGGCTTGGTACCTTTTCTCAGTAAGGTATTCTCATCTTGCTTCTTCTGCATCTGGCTGGTGACTGCATCTCTGTCTTTCCTCTTCCCAGAATTCTCTTAGTCTGGTTGCCAGGCCTATACTTCCTGCCTGACTACTGGCCAATCAGCATTTTGTTAAACCAGTATGAGTGACAAATCTTTACAGTGTACAAGAACATGATCCCACAGCATTTCCCCTTTTTTCTTTCCAAAACAAAAACCCTAAATCTAATCTCCTTTGTTTAACTTTTTTTTTCTGACCATTAGCCATAACAACTTGCCACCAACATGCTAAACAAAGACAAACATCCATAATCCATCTTTGGGAATGTGGGCATAGTTTTCTAGGCTACTTCCTGCTGACTGGGGGCACTGATAATCTTATGGTGAACCAAAGAAAATTTAGGATTATGGTCAAGTCCTCACTGGAGTATTCTGTGAGACTGGATCATCTCAGGCAGCAGTCTTTAGGCTGTTCTGGATGTAGAACTCAGAAGAAACTGCAAAAGAGTGGCTCTAAAATGTTGTATAATCTGGACCATCCACTCCTATCAAAGATTTTTCATGGGGGTCTTCTTTGATCAAACCTTGTTTTCTTAACCCAGAATGAATCCACAGCATCTCATTTCCTATGGAAACAAAAGAAGAACATATCTTTTGACTTATATTTTGAAGTCAAGATATTTTTAAAATATATAGGTTGATTTAATCCAGCAGCATTTATAATCAAATGTCTTTTAGCAGCTGTTGCTCCTTCCTCAAAATTCAAACAATTCAAAGACAATACAATAACATACTATATCCAGATTGTCTGTTATTTTCCATCTTTATGTGGCTGTTTTTTTTTTTACTCTATTTCTTTTTTTTTAAATCTTTGAATTTTTTTAGACAGGGTTTTTCTGTATATCTTTGACTTTCCTTGAACTTACTTTGCAGACCAGGTTGGCCTTGAACTCATAGAGATTCAGCTGCCTCCCTACCAAGTGCTGAGATTGAAAGTGTGTGCCACCACACTTGACTACTCTATTTCTTTTCTTAAGGACTTTCTCTATCCTTTTTCTTTTCTCTCCCAAGCCTATGTATATTTTTAAACATACTGTAAACTGTTTGGAATTTAATTTGAATCTGTCTTTACTGTATATCTCTGTCTTTCTCGATCACATACATCTTTAATCTGCTAAGTGATATGGCTAGGATTAAAGCTGCAGCTTTGGAAGATAGTTCCTCCCCACTCCTTGGCTTCCTGAGAGCCTAGCTTCATGGCGGAGGTACTGACTGAAGTCGCGTTTTTTGTCACAATTCTGTGGAGTTTCTAGGTCCATGTCACCACCAAGAAGCATGTCACTAACTGCTCATAAACACCATTTAAGTGTTTGGTGTCAGATCCCCTTAAAAAGAGTTGCAAGGTTTTTGCTGTTAACTTTGAGTCAGGAAGCCTCTCTTAAAGGAGCTGAGCCTCTGCTTGCCGCCAGCACACAGAGCCTACTAGAGTAAAGATGGTCACCAAGAAGCTGCGCTTGACTCTGTTCTTGTTTGTCTAGAATCCTTTTTTTTTAAAAAAAAAAAAATGCTTTCTCAGGCTTTATGTGGAAATTCTTGCCAAATGTTTGGGCGCCATTATGTAAACGGAGACAAAGCTTTCATTTCCTGACTGCCCAGACCCAAATAATCATGCAGAAACTATATTAATTACAACATTGTTTAGTCAATGGTTTAGATGACTCCTAGCTAACTCTTACATCTTAAACTAATCCATTTCTATTCATCTATGTGTCCCCACGAGGCTGCGGCTTACTGGTAGTGTTCTGGCATCTTTCTCCTTCAACAGCTACATGGCATCTCCCTGACATCACCTATTCTCTCTCTCTATTTCTGTTCAGATTTCCTGCCTGGCTTTACTCTTCTAAGCCATCGGCCAAAATAGCTTTATTCATTAACCAATAAAAGCAACACATATATAGAAGGACACCCCATGTCAGAAGGGTGGGCTGGTTACTAATTTTTAGTAATTTTGTCAACTTGACACAAGCTAGAGTCATCTGGAATGAGGGAACCTCAACTGAGGAATTGCCTCCATCAGACTGGGCTGTAGGCAAGTCAGTGGGAACTCTTTTTGATGAGTGATTGATGTGGAAAGGCACAACACACTGTTGGTAGTACCAGCCTTGGGCAGGTGAGCTGAGCAAGCCATGGGGTGCAAGTCAGTAAGTAGTGTTCCTCTGTGGTTCTACTTAGTTCCTGCCTCCAGGCTCCTGCCCTGACTTCCTGTCAGGATAGACTGTAAGCTATGAGATGAAATAAGCCCTTTTTTCCTCCAAAGACTCTTTGGTCGAGATGCTTATCACAACAACAGAAAGCAAATTAAGACATAGTTTACCCACCTTCCTTTACAGAATCAGGATAAACCCCACAGGTATGTTGTGGTAGTTTGAATGAAAATGGCCCCCCCCATAGGCTCATAGGGAATGGCATGCTTTTGAGGTATGACCTTGTTAGAGAAGATCTGGTCTTGTTAGAGGAAGTATCACTGTGGGTG